ATATAAAGCCAGTGAATAAACCTGTTGTTTATAAAAAGCAGACTGGTTGAAACATGTTGACTGTAATAACGGTTATAATACCTGGCATTGTTACTGTGGTAACTGCTTGTGGGGATGTGATGCTGACTGGTAAAGTTACATTAGATGCTGGTGATAACATGTTAGCAGAAGATAATTTTGTGCTGAGTGGAAGTGAGGTTGTGGTGAATGTTGGTGAATGTGTATTGACTGGTGGAGAAGCTGCATTGTGTGGAGGTGAGGTCAGGTTGAATGTTGGTGGAGTTGGTCTGATTGGTGGAGAAGTTGCATTGAGTGGAGGTGAGGTCAGGTTGAATGTTGGTGGAGTTGGTTTGACTGGTGGAGAAGTTGCATTAAGTGGAGGAGTGGTCATATTGAATGCTGGTGAATGTGCAACTACTGCACAGGAAGTTGCAATATGTGGAGGTGAGGTCATGTTGAATGGTATTGAAAAGGTATCGACTTGAAGGGAATTTACAGTACCTGCAGGTGAGGTCATGTTGAATGCTGGTGAAGTTAGACTGACAGGTGGAGAAGTTGCATTGAGTTGAGGTGAGGTCATGTTGAATGCTGGTGAATGTGCATCGACTGCATGAGAAGTTACATTATGTGGAGATGAGGTCATGTTGAATGATTTTGAAAATGTATTGACTTGGAGGGAATTTACAGTACCTGCAGGTGACGTCATGTTGAATGCTGGTGAAGTTGGACTGACTGTTGGAGAAGTTGCATTGTGTGGAGGTGAGGTCATGTTGAATGCTGGTGAATGTGCATTGACTGCAGGAGGAGCTGCATTACCTGGAGGTGAAGTTGGACTGACTGGTGGAGAAGTTGAATTGAGTGGAGGTGAGGTCACATTCCCTGCTGGTGAAGTTGCTGTGACTGGAAAAGAAGTTGCATTGGGTGGTGGTGAGGTCATGTTAAATTGCAGTATTTGGAAACTGCAGTAATTGGAGAAGTCGTGTTGAGTGGAGGTGAGGTCATAGAGAAGACGTTTTGAGTGGAATTGACAGCATGTTGAATGTTACGGATGTGTTGTTTATTTGTGAGAGTGGTTGAAACATTTTCAGTAACGTAAATATAGTTAATGTTTCCTCTGATAAATGTCAGTGTAAAAAGCCATAAAACATTTTATTTATAGCATGTCATATTGAAAACATTGTAAAAAAGTGCAATAAGTTAAATTAGATTACATGACAAAGATATTGTATTTAAATATCAACTTAGTCTGTTATCCTAAATAGGTATGTGTATATATATATGTTTGTATATGTGTATATATATATATGTTTGTATATGTGTATATATATATATATGTTTGTATATATATATATGTTTGTATATGTATATATAGAGTAAAGCACTGGGTGTTGAGTCGTATGTGATTATATAATCTCAATGAATGCTTAAACAACAGCCTATTTTATTCTGGGCATTTGTGGAAATTGAAAACTTTCTTTGTTCTGTTTGTGTAAAAATAGACATAGGATCAACCAAATAACAAGCACACTCACCGCTGAGGTTACTTCCAACGCTAGAGCAATAAACTCTGGAGAGTTCTTGTCATCAAAGGCTAGTACAAAGACTTTCACCAAACTAAATCCCAAATTGATTTTAGGCTCCAATTGGGGGGCAGGTGTTTTCGTTGTAGTTGTAGTAGGAGCAGTAGTAGTTGTGGTTGTAGTGGTAGCAGTAGTTGTTGTGGTTGTAGTTGTAGTTGGTGTTGTTGTTGCCAGTGATCCTGTTACAGGTGTGGAGCTTGCATTACCTATAAATCAGGCAAATTTCAGTTTTTTTTTTGTCAAGTAAAAACAATTTAAAATTCATAATTGCACCTATATCTTAACAATGTACAGCATATAGTAAATATAAAAGATATTTTCCCCACAAAAATAGCATTGTAATGCAAATAAACTGCTTAAAAAACAAACAGGCAGTAACATGTTTATGAGAAAAGTTACAATACCTAGTGCTGTTACTGTGGTAACTGTTTGTGGGGATGTCACGCTGACTGGTAAAGTTACATTAGATGCTGGTGTTGTGGTATGAGCAGAAGATAAGACTGTGCTGAGTGGAGGTGTGGTCATGTTGACTGCTGGTGAAGTTGCTCCAACTGGTGCAGAAGTTGCATTGAGTGGAGGTGAAGTCATGTTGAACACCGGTGGATGTGCACTGACTGGATGAATAGTTACATTACCAGGTGGGGAGGTCATGTTGAATGCTGGTAATGGTAGACGGACTGGTGGAGAAGTTGCATTGAGTGGAGGTGATGTAATGTTGAATGCTGGTGAATGTGCATCAAATGGTGGAGAAGTTGCATTATGTGGAGGTAAGGTCATGTTGTACACTGGTGAATGTGCACTGACTGGATGAATAGTTACATTACCTGGTGGGGAGGTCATGTTGAATGCTGGTAAAGGTAGACTGACTGCTGGAGAAGTTGCATTGAGAGGAGGTGATGTAATGTTGAATGCTGGTGAACGTGCATCAATTGGAGGAGAAGTTGCATTGAGAGGAGGTGATGTAATGTTGATAAAGGGTGAATGTGCATCAAATGGAGGAGAAGTTGCATTATGTGGAGGTAAGGTCATGCTGAATGCTGGTGAATGTGCACTGACTTGATGAGTAGTTACATTACCTGGCAGAGTGGTCGTGCTGAATGCTGGTAAAGGTGGACTGACTGGTGGAGAAGTGGCATTGAGTGGAGGTGAGGTCATGTTCACTGCTGGTGAAGTTGGACCAACTGGAAGAAAAGTTAAATTTTGTGGAGGTGAGGACATGCTGAATGCACGAGAAGTTGCAATGACTGGTGGAGAATATGTATTGAGTGGAGATGATTGTTAATGATGTGTTGTGTTTTTGAGAAAATGGTAACTGGTGGCAGATACATTTTGAATAAGTTAATTGTAAGTAAAGTTTCTTGTCATTCATGTCAATGTAAAAAGGCCATAAAACATTTTACTAACATTTTCATACTGAAAACATTTTTATAAAGACACAACTAGATAAC